TAGCGGTGCTAAGAGGCTCGCGACCTCCACGGAGGTCTCTAGAGTAACTAGTTTGGCTGTCTCCTGCCTGTTCGCCGCTCCAGGGCACCGAGCTAGCCGCTATGATTACACCAGAGGTCAGTCGCGAGAGATTGATTCCCTTAGTAGACTAACGTGTCTCGGTGGGTTCTGCACACTGTAGAGCAGTGGTTCCCAACCACGTTCCTGGAGGACCACCAACACTGCATGTTTTCAATGTCTCCTTAATCAAACACACCTGATTCAGATCATCAGCTCATTAGTAGAGACTCCAAGACCTGAAATGGGTGTGTCAGACAAAGGAGAGATACAAAATATGCAGTGTTGGTGGTCCTCCAGGAACGTGGTTGGGAACCACTGCTCTATGCTACTATAAGTACACATAATACACATAAAAACTTCTGTCTCTGAACCTGTCAAAATTATGCTTTAATAACATTCCTACATATTGAGTGTTGTGTTTTCCTCCATTCATGTTTCTATTAGTGAAAAATACATTGAAAAGGAAATAAAAATATCTTGTTCATCAGTTAAGCATAACAATTAACATAAATGATTATTGTGACTAAATCTTTAACAAAACAGAGAGAAGATGAGAGAAAAGATGGAAAATGTGAGTGAAAGGGAAAATAAGGGGAGGCTGGGTGAGCTTCTGAATCCACTGGATTTAATAAATCCAGGCAGGTCACTCTTTATCTGAGAGCTGATCCAGTCCTGGTAGTGAGACACTCTGGTGTAACCGCCAGGGTACTTGGGTGCTGTACAGTTTACACCGAAAATCGAAATTCCAGACTGAATCCACTGCGAGCCATTAATAACCAGTGGACCTCCACCATCTCCCTGCATAGACAAGCACTTCACATTTACATCATGCCAATATACTGAGCATCTGTAAGCAGACACTGACTGATGTCTTACCTGACATGAGCCTTTCCCACCCTCGGCTGGTCCAGCACACAGAATGTTGTCTGGAATTATTCTTTCATAGGCATGTTCACAATCACTCTGGCTGACGACTGGTATGTTCACCTCCTGCAGTGAGTTTGGAATAGTGGTGTCTGTTGCACATAAATCAGTATAAAAAGACACATTTTTAAGACCCATTCACTCTAAGCACGATAACTATAATAATCAATAATGATAAATACATTTGTGTCGACACAAACGGATGACAGCATCCTGTTTATATACCTTTTTCCTCACTTCTCCCTTGTGTGTAATCAGTTGGCGAGCAGTGGAGGTAATGTGAAAATAAAATAAACAGGCCTACAGAGTATTTAATAACACCACAGCTATATGCAATTTAGGTAGGGTGACCATACGGGCCATTTTTACGGGACGCACCCTTGCCAGAATTTCTATATTGCCTAAAATATCCAGGTTTTGGCTATTTGCACTGTGCAGATCGATCGTTGTATAATATTATTTCACGAGAGCTATAGAGAGCAGACGGCTCCTTATGCTTTCAAATCGCTCCGCGGTACTTTGGTGTCATACAACGATCGGTTCGCAGCTTCAAGTCGAACGAACGAACGAACAAACACGTGTGCGTATTTGCATCGCTTTGATCGTTCTCACCTTCTCACACGCGACGCGCCACGATTGGTCGATTATTTATGTACAATACCTGATATTGGTCAAACTACTTTGGATGTTTTAGGCCAGGGGTGCCCAAACTCGGTCCTGGAGGGCCGGTGTCCTGCAGAGTTTAGCTCCAACTTGCCTCAACACACCTGCCTGGAAGTTTCTAGTATGACTAGTAAGAGCTTGATTAGCTGGTTCAGGTGTGTCTAAGTGGGGTTGGAGCTAAACTCTGCAGGACACCGGCCCTCCAGGACCGAGTTTGGGCACCCCTGTTTTAGGCCATATAAAAATCCTGGCCAGGACGTGTCCTGTATAAATAGCAAATATGGCCACCCTAAATTTAGGTTTTATTTTGAATAATTGTAGAGCCCTAACTCTTTACAGTCAGTGGATTCTGATGGATTGTCAATGTTTTTATTGTTCATCAGCTGGAAAATAAAATCACTCCGACAGTGATTCCAATGATTTCATTCCTCCATGTCGTTATCATTATATAGTTGTGGTGTGGACATTGCTATTCTTTTAGAATTAGAACAACTAAAACTTTGTGCTTATAGTTATCATTATAGTTATAGGCTTTTACAGGCCTTTAGTCATTTGCATGTGATGACAAAGTTACACATTATCAGGTTACACTTTATTTCAATAGTCCACTAAGTAACTTTGCAACTACATGTCAACTAACTCATTAATTTGCACATGCATGTCAACTAACTTTCATTAGAGTATTAGTAGACTGTTAGGTTAGGGTTGGGGTTAGTAAAATAAGTTGACATGAACTTGCAAAGTGACTTCAGTAGAATATCAGTTTATAAAAATAAAGTGTTAGCAGATATTTAAAGGGATGGTTCACTGGGTTTTTTCTAGGCTTGATTGTGTTTATGGGGTGCAGTCTAACATGTTTTAACGCTTCGTTTAAAAAAAAAAACGCTTTATTTTTCACATAATTTATCTTTATTCCACATTTCTCTGTCCCTTCTCTGAGAAACGGGCTGATTATTTCCTTCTTTTATGAAGACCCTCCCTCAGAAATAGGCGATGGACTCTGATCGGTTAGCAGTGTTGGGGGTAACGCATTACAAGTAACGCGAGTTACGTAATCAGATTAACATGTCAACTAACTCATTAATTTGCACATGCATGTCAACTAACTTTCATTAGAGTATTAGTAGACTGTTAGGTTAGGGTTGGGGTTAGTAAAATAAGTTGACATGAACTTGCAAAGTGACTTCAGTAGAATATCAGTTTATAAAAATAAAGTGTTAGCAGATATTTAAAGGGATGGTTCACTGGGTTTTTTCTAGGCTTGATTGTGTTTATGGGGTGCAGTCTAACATGTTTTAACGCTTCGTTTAAAAAAAAAAACGCTTTATTTTTCACATAATTTATCTTTATTCCACATTTCTCTGTCCCTTCTCTGAGAAACGGGCTGATCATTTCCTTCTTTTATGAAGCCACTCCCTCAGAAATAGGCAATGGGCTCTGATTGGTTAGCTAGTCCAGTGTGTTGTGATTGGCTAAACCGCCTCTAGCGCGCATCT